AAATGAACTAGAAAAACATGAGTAAGTGTGTCTCTTTCTTGTTGAATAACAGCATAAGCATTTGCATGGTTCGTTCTACCAAACCAAAACATATAAATATCTGTGTTGCATGTCATATAACACTAATATGGTCATCATTTTATGTAGTTCTTGGAGCCTCTTGAGCTCTGCTACAGATCTCTTTGTGCTTGTGGTGATCTCTCCATCGCGGATGGTAGCCTTCTGGATTTCCTGAGACAAGTTTCTACGTTTGGACTTTCACTTGTGAGACTTGACATAAGACAAGAGTCGGACCGCCATACTGATGTGCTTGATGCTATTACGCAACATTTGGAAATTGGTTCATATCGAGACTGGTCTGAAGAACGTAGACAAGAGTGGCTTCTGTCTGAACTCAGTGGCAAGAGACCTTTATTTGGACCTGATCTTCCAAAAACTGAAGAAATTGCTGATGTTTTGGATACGTTCCATGTCATAGGCGAACTCCCAGCAGACTGCTTCGGGGCATACATCATCTCAATGGCCACTGCACCATCTGATGTGCTTGCAGTAGAGCTTCTACAGCGTGAATGCCGAGTGAGGCAACCTTTACGAGTTGTTCCACTTTTTGAGAAGTTGGCTGATCTGGATGCTGCTCCTGCAGCCGTTGCACGTCTTTTCTCAATTGAGTGGTACAGAAACCGAATTAATGGCAAGCAAGAAGTGATGATTGGATACTCCGACTCTGGCAAGGATGCAGGTCGGCTATCAGCAGCCTGGCAGTTATATAAGGCTCAAGAGGAGCTTATACAAGTCGCCAAGGAGTTCGACGTGAAGCTAACCATGTTCCATGGTAGAGGTGGTACAGTGGGAAGAGGAGGTGGCCCCGCCCATCTTGCCATATTGTCTCAACCACCCGAAACAATTCACGGATCTCTCCGTGTTACAGTTCAGGGTGAGGTTATTGAGCAGTCTTTTGGGGAAGAACACTTGTGTTTTAGGACACTCCAGCGTTTTACTGCTGCTACACTTGAACATGGGATGCATCCACCAGTCTCTCCAAAACCAGAGTGGCGTGCACTTATGGACGAAATTGCAGTTGTTGCTACAGAAAAGTATCGATCAATAGTTTTTAAGGAACCCCGATTTGTTGAGTATTTCCGCCTGGTAAGTATGCTAGCAATGAACTCAGTTATTAATTGTAGATGCTGTCACAAATATTGCCTTGAGTTGTAATAAGCTATTTTTCATTGATCATGTTTGCAGGCCACACCCGAGTTAGAGTATGGTCGAATGAACATTGGCAGCCGTCCATCAAAGCGTAAACCCAGCGGAGGCATAGAATCACTTAGAGCTATTCCGTGGATCTTTGCTTGGACTCAAACTAGATTCCATCTTCCAGTCTGGCTCGGCTTTGGAGCAGCATTTAAGTATGCCATTGAAAAGGATATCAAGAACCTTCGCATGCTGCAGGAAATGTACAATGCATGGCCTTTCTTTAGGGTAACTATTGATTTGGTTGAGATGGTGTTCGCCAAAGGAGACCCAGGCATTGCTGCATTGTTCGACAAGCTTCTGGTGTCCGAAGATTTGTGGTCTTTCGGTGAACATTTGAGGTCAAAGTATGAGGAGACAAAGAGCCTCCTCCTGCAGGTAATGTGACATATACTTCTAAAAAGGATCGGTTGAACACTTATTGTGCTCGATTGCTTCACAAACTGGTTCCAAGTTAGTACATCTAAACATAATTTTCCCTTTTTTAAAATAGATTGCTGGACACAAGGATCTTCTGGAGAGTGATCCATACTTAAAACAACGACTCAGGTTGCGTGACTCCTACATCACAACATTGAACGTGTGTCAAGCCTACACCCTAAAGCGTATTCGTGACCCAGACTACAGTGTCACACCAAGGCCTCACATTTCCAAGGAATACATGGAAGCAAAACCAGCTACAGAACTTGTGAACCTGAACCCAACTAGCGAATATGCACCTGGCTTGGAGGACACACTCATCTTAACCATGAAAGGTATTGCTGCTGGAATGCAGAATACTGGTTAGTCGTCACCTGGAATATGGAAGATGTTAGTCGTCAAAGATGTTGACGACTAACATCATGATTACATTCTTGGCGCAAAGTCCCGAATAGGGACCATCATTGAGCAAACTTGCACAAACAGTGAACTAGAATCTTATGTCCCTATTGCAATTGTAGTAACTCTTGAACACTAAGGATCCCTTTGGTTTGATGTGTTATTAGATGAAATATTGATGGTATAAAATTTGGTATTTGCTTTATCCAGTGTCTCCTTTGTAATTTCAGACTTGCATAGGCATAATGTTAATACATTAGTGTATTATACTCTTATGTTTCAATTTGTTTGTCATATTTTGACTTGGTACAGAGTTTAGGGAAGTAAAGAAGACTTTTGAATCTTGTGGTTTCAAAATAAAGATGTACCAAAATGTTTTTTAATCTTGTAGTATTAAAGATGTTACGTGGAAAGTTGAAAATGAAAAATATGTCAAAAAGGAAAAAGGCATTCTTTTTTTAAACGGACCAAAAAGAAAAGTAAGACAAACAAACTAAAACGGATTGTATCAATTAGTTGTAGTGATCGAAGTTTTGTAATGCTAGTTGTTCTAAAAAAAAATAAAAACTAAACTTTGAAATGAAAATTATAACTTACTTCACAAATAAATGACCTCAAAATATTATGGCCCTTTAAATAATTTTGTTCTCTCAACCAAATAAAATTAGTTATAAAACAATGAACAAGTCAATTAACTCCCCAACCTTATATTAAATATAAGATCATCCTTAAACTACTCCACAACAATCTCTCTACCATTGTTCCTTCAAAAAAAATTATCCCTATAAATAGTTGAATATATCATTTATATTCAAATTGTGACACACACAAGAGAAGAAAGAAAAACCAAAAAAAAAAAAAAAAAAAACAAAGAAAAAATGGCAAAGGCTACCTTGGTCCTTTCTGCACTCTGCAGCATATTGGCCTTTGCCAACTTTGCTCAAGCCCATGAAGTCTTCAAAGTTGAAGGCACTGTCTATTGTGACACTTGCCGTGTGCAATTTCAGACCAAAATTAGTGAGAACATTGAAGGTATGAAATTTTGTCACATCAATGTTGTAAATGTATACGGTCAAATCTCTTTATAACATTATTGTTTGTCTGAGCAGTTTTTGACTGTTATAGCGAGATACAGTAACATGATATGATATAGTCAGTTCCAGAAAGAAAAATAAAACTTGATTGACGTTATAATGATATGTTGTTATGGAGGATTGTTGCTATAAGAAACTTGTCATGCATGTTTGATAAAATGTATTTTATGTCTATTCAGTATTATAGGGTGTACAATCAATACATAGCAAACACATGGTATTAGTAATACAAGAGATATTAATACATGGACAAACATGATAAAAGACATAATTGTTCTTAATACACCAAATCAAACAGTGAATTTTAATATTTTACTAGTCCCAACATAACTAATCTGGCATTTCTTAAACATATTATTCTTATACGCTCTATCAAACAACTCGTATATATATATATATGAAAGAAGATAAAATATGTGTATATACTATGGAATATAGAAGGGAAGGCACCTAGATGGATCATCACACCATGACACTTACTTACTATGCCACCTCACTAGACTGACTAATGTTGTTATAGAGAAGTTTGACTAACTAACGAGATACATTTGTATGATATATATAGGTGCAAAAGTGCAGTTGACATGCAGAGACATGGAGACAGAAAAGGTGACATATACAACAGAAGCATTGACAGACAAGGATGGAAAATACACAATAGAAGCAACAGGTGACCATGAGAAAGAACTTTGTGATGTAGGTGTTATCCATAGCCCAAGAGAAGATTGCAAGGAACCTGCAATTGGTTTTGAGAACACAAGAGTTGTGTGCAGTAACAATGTTGGTATGCATAATCCAACACGCTACGCGAATCCACTGTTCTTCATGAAGAAAGAGTCTTTGCCTGGTTGCAAGGATGTTCTTGATGAGTTGGGTTTATTCCCACTTGAATTTTAAGTTATCAAGTTTTTAGACAAAACACATTATTACTAGCTTTTTGCCCTTTTTGTTGATTTGGTGAATCAAATAATAATTGTTGCTTCTCCTCCTGTATGTGTAACTCACCATGCATGAACAACAAAGTTCAATAATTGGTAATGAATAAGGAATTTTCATAACTAGCTTATACTTTATGTTTGAAAGTTGTGATGTTCCTTCATTTATTAAATCTTTCTTTCTATTTTCCAACAAAAACAAAGTATTGCAATGCCCAAGATGTTGAAAATTAATTTGTAAATAACTATACATGAAGATATTTGAAAAAAAACAACTTGTCTTAATTATTTAGTATTCAAATTGTTAAAGAGAGAAGTATTGGAAACATCCTTAAACTTGATGCAAATTATTAGTTTCATCCCCGAGTTATTGACAGCCTTGAAAACAACATTTTACTTAATTAATTGAATCTAAATACACTCCCCATCTTACAATATTAGTGGAATACACCCCTAAATTCTCATCAAGTTTAGGGGTATTTTCAACACTTCTCTCAATTTTTATTAAGAACTTCATGTTCCTACAAGAGTTTGAGATCACTTGTTATTTCATGTGTCATATCGTGAGTGTATCGGGAGCGTATTTAAATTTAGTTAGTCAAGCAGATCTGTGTGTTTAAGGCTGACAATAGTAACTAGTAATTTGCGCCAAGTTCAAAGGTATTTTCAATACTTATCTCATTATTAAATACAACATGTTAATATTTAAATGAGCATTTTCAGAAATCTTAAGTTTATTGCATACGTATTTTATTATTTAGATGTGTATTTAGATGCAGATTCTATGGAGGATGCATTTCACATTTTTTGAAACTTGAAGGGACCAAACCAAACATTTTGAGAGGCGTATTTTCATGGCATTTTGCTATTAAAACCCGATAAACCCTCAAAGAGCTAGCTAGGGTTTTATAGAAACGAAAATGGCGTCTCGTTCTTTACTCAATGCTTTCAAACGCTCCTGCAACTCACTTTCTCTCTCTACAATTCCGAGCACTTACTCTCTCCACCGTCTGCGACCAATTTCTGCCGTTGCGGCCAACCTACGAAATGTCTCTCCGGCACCGACGCCGTTTTCTCGAGGTTTTGCCACTCGCCAAACGTCATCGTCACTCAATGACCCGAATCCTAATTGGTCCAATCGACCCCCAAAGGAAACGATTTTGCTTGACGGCTGTGATTTTGAGCACTGGCTTGTTGTGATGGAGAAGCCTGAAGGTGATCCCACCAGAGATGAAATTATTGATAGCTACATCAAAACACTTGCTACGATTGTTGGGAGGTTCGTCTCATTTCTCTGCATTTTTAGCTTCTTCTCGTGTTTCAGCTCCATTTTAGTAAAACCTAATTATAATTGCTTACTGTTTTATTACTTTTGGTGATAAGATGTTTAGTTTTAGCTCTTGATAAATGATTTGGGGAATAAATGATTAATGTTGAGGGTAAAACATGTGAAAAAATATGTTTTTTTTATCTTGATATGCTAAAAGTGATGAGTGAAAATGTATTTTCAGTATAGTGGACTAGTAAAATTGAACAGATGGAGTGTAAGTTTATTCAAGGAAAAACGAACTTCCCTGTGTGGTGTGCCTATACTTCTATATGGAAATGTATGCCTTGTGTGAACCAATATATACTTCTTTTGCCGTAAAACATAGCTGTTTGCTTGTGTGGATGAGGAGCACAAAGACTGTACGAGTGCTTGGCATGATATATACCTGAAAGAAGGATTAGTTTATTTGTATGGGTGGCTTATGTTAATAGTTAATCTTGCAGTGAGGAGGAAGCACGGATGAAGATTTATTCCGTCTCAACTAGACATTACTTTGCTTTTGGTGCCCTTGTATCTGAAGAACTGTCTTATAAACTAAAAGGTAATGCAGTTGTTACACCCCACCCTTTTTTTTTCTTTGGTGATTCATGACAGTGAGTAAATTGGTGGAAATCCTAATCACTTGTTTGTTTCCATTCATGTCCAGAGCTGCCTAAGGTTCGTTGGGTGCTTCCTGATTCTTATCTCGATGTTAGAAATAAAGATTATGGAGGTAAGCAGTTCCATGTTTTGCAGTCCTATCAGCTTGCTGTGTCAGCACTAGTTTAGCATTTTTGGGCCATCTTATCTTGGATTATAAACTAGTCATGTGTCAGCTAATCTTATGACTTTTTGTAATGCATGTTGCAGGGGAACCTTTTATCAATGGACAGGCTGTACCATATGACCCGAAATACCATGAGGAATGGGTGAGAAACAATGCTCGTGCTAATGAGAGAAACAGACGCAATGACCGACCTCGTAATTTTGATAGATCCAGAAACTTTGAGAGAAGAAGAGAGATGCAGAATCAACCCAGTCAGAACCCTGGATCCAACATGGCAGCGGGGGGGCCTCCCAACATGAGGAATGCACCACCTCCCAACATGGGCGGCATGCAGCAACCTAACATGGGTGGGATGCACCAGCAGCAAGGCATGGGAGGGCCATCCCATACAGGCGGGATGCACCAGCAGCAAGGCTATGGAGGGCCACCACCTCATGCAGGCGGGATGCAGCAGCCGGACATGAGAGGACCACCCATGCAGCAGCAAGGCTATGGAGGGCCACCACCTCATGCAGGTGGGATGCAGCAGCCTAGCATGGGAGGGCCACCACCCCGTGGAGGTGGGATGCAGCAGCCGAATATGCCACCCAACATGGGAGGTGTGCCACCAAACATGGGTGGAGTGCCTCCCAATAACTACGGAGTGCCAAACAACGCACCTAGTTTCCAATACAATGGCGGTGGACCAAACAATGGAGGCACACCTTACCAAACAGGTCCAGGGCCAAACCAGAGCTATGCTCCTAATACATCTGATGGGAACTCCTATCAGAATCCAAACATGCCTGGAAGAGATATGTCCAATCCTAATTACCGATGAGCAGCTGTAGATACGTGTTTAGTTGTCAATGCTAGATGGTTTATCTTCACGAAGTGATGTCTTATGGTGTTTTTGATAGCACGTTGTCCTCATAATAGTTGGAAGTACGAATATTACATATTGAGTTATGCAGTGCCAAAAATTATTGGAATTTCCTCTTATTTTTTTCAGTGTCATCATCATATTATAAGTTTTTTGGATTCCTTATAGGATTATTTTTTTAGCCTGCAAGGGCATCAATACTTCAGCTTGAATTGCAATAAATTCATGCAGTGAAAGTGTCACCCTCTATAGTTGGTAGGGATGGCAAATGGGCTGTTTGAGCAGAAGTTGGTTGGTTCAAGATGGGTCTAAAGTTTGCAGAACTAGTGCTACACATTATATTTCCGAAAGTGGAGTAGGAAAATTATATTTTCAATTATTAACTAGGCAAACAATTTCTGGAACCACTTCAAATGATGTTAGATTGCAATAGACTATCATTTCTTAGGGAGGCAGAACCAGGTTCTTTCTTCATCAATGATCATCATGTCGCATATTCTCATGTCAAATACAAGTCAATCTTCCCTCTTTTGGCATCATCGAGCAACAATATTTTTCATATGGGCAGGTTGATATACAACGAAAAACTGCTGAATGTAACACTGAAAATGAACTAGTTTCAACTTGAATTAATTCATCAGCAAATGCGACTAGGGACAGATGGTTGGCAATCCATTTTTTTGCATAACTTGAATATCACAAGCCGCTTTTCCTTTTCCCATTTCTACAGGTAGCTTATGGTATTCCTGAAATTGAAAATTCTAACATGTGTCCTCTCCATCATATGAGTGATAGCCATTACATTGAGCTTCAGATCCCCAGAATGGCGGAGGACACAAAGCTCCCAAAGAAGACGGGAGGCAAAGTTGTCCAGACATTTTCATATGCCAATGCAAGTAGCTAATGATTGGAGAAAATACTTCTTTGTCATTTTGTTTCCACTGTGGAGAATTTAGCCTCTGCAGATACTTCAATAGATTGAGAGTCAGATGATGCAATACTAAAGGCTTTTCCATTCACATCACCTGTTCTCTTCTTGGCAGCACGAATCTGATCTGCAAGTGAAACTGTTTTTTGTACTTGAGGTGTCTTTATGAATGATACATCGAGTTTTTCCCAAGCTCGACGATGTTCTCTACAAACATGGCTAAGTGTGGACTTTTTCTTCTGAATCTGTAAGCACACGGGATGTCGCATCAGTTATAAAACAAAAATGAAGGCACCAAAATGACAACTTTTTAATCACAGAAGAACTGTGAACATACAGGATATGGCATCACTTATAAAACACAAATAATGCACTAAAATGACAACTTTTTAGCCGCATCCACATCAGGAATTCATTTTGGAATATTTTCTAGTTCGGTGCTACCTTGTACAGCAGTTGTGTTTCCTTTTTCCAGAGGGAATTGAGCAAAAAGTTGAAATTTTGATGTTGGAGAGACTATAATATGTGACTTCATTTTAGCAGCCACATCAATTTCTTGGAATGGCCAAAGCAATATAAATTGATTTATGGGATCATCTAGGTGAGAGTATACCAAATACAACCCATGCATATTACACTCAGTGTTCAAGCAAGGTTTTGTTGAGTTCTGACCTTCACTAATTTCGCCTTGAGTTTCAATTCTTCAGCAACAGCTAACTCTTCTTTCTCTTGCTTTGACCGTTTTCTTGGTCTCTTCGTTTTTCCTTCAACTTTTTGCTTTTCTTCTCGTTCTTTTCTCCTTTGAGCAAGTCTCTGCATCCTTTCCATCTTTCTCTGTGCTGCTCTCTCAGCTCGTATGCGTGTGATTTCTTTTGCCTTGGCCTTTTCTGCAGCCAACTGAAGTCGTTCGAGAGCTATCTCTCTTTTGATCTTGTCGTAGCTGTCCCATTCTAATTCTTCTTGGTCGCTCCCACCTACCTTAGCAGCATTTGCAATGCTTTCAGCCCATGACTGAAAAAATTTCTCCCTTGACCTTTTCCATTTTAATCGTTCACCCCAGAGCTTTCTGAGAGATGCGCGTATTCGTAACTTGGTCTGATTGCTGCAAAAGAGAGTTATTATGAACTTCCAGATTTAAATGGAAAAGGTCTTTTTGCAAGTTATTCTTTGTGGTGAACTATTCATGCTGCAGTTAGAGTGATATCAAACAATTCCTATCATTCAATAACAGAGTAAAGAGAGACTTTTGGCTATACTTGCAACTTCCTAGTGATCACAAAGGTTAGCACCGAAGGTCAAGACACCACACACTAGTATGCATCCTCTACTGAATAACTTCTAAAATTTCAAACCAGTGATTAAAGTTCCTAAAACAAATTTAAAAAGGGAGCAGAACTATTGTTTGGATTGATTTTAGACGTCACCACACAACCTATGCATAGGATGAACATGAAATCATGAAAGTAAATATCTAATGCTCACAAACTTAGCAGTTTATATGCGGCTTAGCAGGAGCAGGTTTTCCTTGCTGGTCAATTATGACTGGTTGTACGCACAGTTTGAAACAGGGTGCAGGTCTGCTGAAAATTTGCCTCTTGACTTAGAGGGAGCTTTTAAAGCTCTTATATCTTGATATTCCTCTTTGCAAAATCATGTGGACAACATTTCAGCCTGATTTGTTCCTTGTGACCCCTCTTTCCTTTGGAAGATAACTTAAGGTGGGAATGATTTTGTTGATACATTCTAGTAAATTAACGTTTCACAATGAGGAAACTAATTTTTTTTTTATAACCTGAATTTTGACAGATGGGTTAGTATGATTTCTTCAGATTGCGACATTGAACCACTGTTCAGTTATTCTGGGCAGAAATGACACAAAGAGGAGGTACTCCATCCAAAAAAAAAGAAAGACAATAAGAGGAGGTTACAAAGCTCTGTAACCAGCTGAAATCGCCTCATCAGCAAGGAAAATGATTGTGGCTAGCCAGAAGCAAGAAGAACTGGGAGCTAGCAGTTGGAACTTTAAGCAAAATATTTTTGCTTAACATAGCGCTTTCTCTGTTATCTCTCTATGCCAAGGGCATTCCCTTCTCTATGATGTAGTACTTTCTTCTCAACAGTACCTTTAGCTTGAACTTAGACAGATCGAGAGAGAATCAGTCTACCAAAAAGCTGACACGTACCAAAGACATATACAAACACATATTCCTGTTGACTTCAGGTGTCCCCTGCTCGGCTGTAACAGTTCCTCAAGATTGTCCCAAATCCTAAAATTCAAGTTCTCATACAACCAAGCTAACTCTTGCACTTAACAAAGCTAGTGAATGTTAGTTAGAACATGATGTCACATACCAAAATCCTAAGCTTTTCAGAGTACTCATAGACGTAGCAGACGTGAATATCTTATCAACACGTAATGAAGTATAGCTGTTAAGTGCATACAACTTCCAAATATAATATAATAAAGACGAGAGGGAAAATACCTAAGAGAGCGTGGACATTCAGACATCTTTCGTCTTACCTGAAATAAGATAAAATATATTTTAGGAGAAAGAGAATGATATATATGTACCAGAGTGGTCAGTACATTATCATGCTACAATTGTAAGTTCCTATTTGTCAGAAGGAATGCTTTGAGGGAAAACAAAGGAAAAAGAGCAGTGGATTGTGGTCTTTCATGTGCAAGTCAAAACTTCAAAGCAGAACCAAAAGTATAAACAGTTTGGACATTTTAAAAAATTGTGAACTAAATAAACTTTCTTTATCTAACAACGGCACATGCTTCATATCTATTTTGAAAGTAAACGCAACATGAAGGACTTCGTACAATTGATTCTTACATGACTTCACCTTGGGATCACTCAAAGCTTCTTTGGTTCTCTGTCTGATCTTTTCACGAGTCTCTGCAAGGTACTGCAAATAGTTAAACTACACAGATATATGTTGTATAATTAACATATCACCGTCCATATAAAGGCTACCTGGACTATGTTTTCTGCCTTTGTTCCATGGCACTTTTCCTCTGTTTGCTAATCCAATCTTTCTTCTTCTGTCTACTTCCTTTTCCTTACCATCCTTGCTGTTAAAATCCTTGTCCGTATTGGAATAGTCCTCTTCTTGAAAGTCATCAGTTAAAACTTGTCCCTTGGACACATTAGCACTTCGTTTTCTTGCATTACATCTCATTAACTGCAACATCTCTGCCGAGCCATTTCTGGCATACAGCAGTTTATATGAGTCTTCTCCTTCGGATGAAACAGCAAAGCCTGATGATAGGGAATATTTCTGAACCATAGATGCATGACAGATTAACTTTAATATGCTCAGCCTACTTCGTGTACACTCAGCCGCACAGACTGAAGTTCGGGAGAGAAAAGTGCTATGTGTGGTATTGATAGGAAGGTGAGAAGGAGATAACTTCCTGAGGAATAGGCAAATATACAGATCAGAGCTGCTTCCATTTATTAAATAACACTAATTACAATACAGGCAACCCAAAGTCAAGCCTCCTAGTGTGCAGCCAAAAGCAATACATCCAATGCTCATTTCTTACTAAACAACAGTTTTATTCCATCAAGGCAACATCACAATGCTCTTAGTACAAATTGTTGTGCCAGAGGTTTGTTCGATGTCTACCGCAAAAAGCTATGCTACACGTGAATTGTCTTACCTTTTTGCGCGAAAAGTAGAATAGAATACCAAACCAGAAACTGAGTAATCAGTTGAACAATAATCGCTAAAACTAAAGAAGACCTTAACATTTAGAGTAAATCTTAAGTAGAACTCAAGTGAACAGTCAGGATGTGATTCATAATGGTTTTGACTTCCAAGACAAAACCAAAGAAAGTAAAAAAGAAGAGAAGGAGAAACAATGGGATTTTTAACAGAGCTCGACTTTATGAACTTCATAAAGTAGTACTAAAAATTTGGGAGCTCACCCCTGGAATTTCTCACCAGAAGGACCAAAGTACAAGTCACCCAATTCATCAAAAAGATAGCTTGGCAAATATCAACAATCAGCTTAATCCAAATCATCATTCCATATACCCAATGTCATGCCTATCCCTTAACAATCAGTTTCCAGGGTGGTCAAGGAATTTCCAATACATTTCATAAATTGGGCTAAGCTGCCTCAATGTGGTCACATTGCTCAAATTTTGTGAACTCTAACACTTCTCAGTGACTGACAACTGCTAGTTTCGGCTCAAATCTTGTGTTTATGTTTAAAAACACTTAATATGTATAAATAGTTAATCAAGAACCCAATAAGCTTCTTTTTTTAGAACTCACAACCCATAAACTCAAAACCATAGCTCCGCCTCTATATAAGAAGCTCAATAAATTCATACAACAACAACAACAAGATTAGAAATTTGACTTCACATCTAGCAAAAACAAATAGAAACATCCAAGGCCACTTCTTTAAAAGAAAAAAAGAAAACAGAAAGCTGGGGTTTCTGAATTGCAATCAGATTTTCCACAAATTCAATTTCAAGAGTGAGAGCTTACATGGAGAAGAAGATTGAGAGACGCATCAACCATACGTTTCAGATAACTGCTTCTCTTTATTAGAGTATTTTGTTTCCCACAATTATGTAATTTTGCCTAGGTATAAATGAATGAAACCAATTAATATTATTCACTTTTTTTCGGAATATTATTTCACTTCATTTGAAAAATAATATTTGATCATAAAAATTTCAAATACGACTTGAAGTTCAATTTCTAATTTGGAAAAAATTAAAAACCTTGTTTTTACTTCTTTTTAAAAAAAATTGTTTTGTTTTTACAATAATTTTAAATTTTTATTTTCATAAAATAACCTCATTTAAAATTGATTTTGAAATACAATAAATATTTTTTAAGAAATAAATAATTCTAAAGCCCAAACATGTTCTAAATGCTGTAAATAACAAACTTCAACGGAGGTACATGAAATTCAAAAGTGGGGTTTGAGTAGAGTAGAATATAAGCACATCTTATCACGACTTCGTAAAGGTAGAGAGACTATTTCTGAAAAACTCTTGACTCAAGTGCGGCAAATCTACATACAAAGAAGTATGAGACACTGAAACAAATATAACATGTAACAATGAAACATTGTAAGGTCTACCAAAATAGAACAAAAACAACAACAATATAATGCGAACACAATCAACAACATATTAGGATAGATAATCGGAAACAATAATAAACAATAAAACTAGTTAATGACAAAACACTAATAAGTAATAATAAATATAAAAGAACAAGAGCTACAGTAATATAACAAGTACAATATTTCACACTATACTACCTGTCAATCTTCTACCCTAATACGCATCTCCACACCTTCCTATCTAAGATTATATTATCGGTATCTGAAGTTATCATATTCTGTTTTATTACCTTTCTGTAATATTTCTTCAACCTACTTTTGTCTATCCTCATAACCATTCCAAAAATTGACAAGAGAGGGTTTAAAAAATAAATACCTTCCATTTTCAACTCAAAGACTATAGATTCGAGTTAAAGCAAAAAGAATGAAAACCACTTGGATAAATAGCCCCTAATGTTGCATTTTTTTGAGATCGGGACCTTTTATCATGATTTTTGCTCGCTGCATACCTTGATCCACTATCATACAGATAACAATTACTGATGTAATTTGAGCAACAAACATTGTTCCTCTTCTGTACTTTTGAATTTAGAAGTATCAAGCGGATCATGAAGTTACTTGACCTCATTTATTGAAGCTTTCTTGAATATGAATAATTTTCTTTGACATTCTATGTACACCTTTACGTGAACCAATATATCCATTTCAACACAAACTAATTATTAATGTATCTTTTACTATATTTTATCATCCTAGAAATATGAATCGAGATACATGAATATATCATCTTAAATATCTTTGGATTCAGAAGACATCGGGGGATCAAGAAACTATTCAACCTCATTCATTTGTTACTTGTTACTGTACTGTAATAATGATATTATTGAAGCTTGCTTGAACATGAATATCTTTCTTTGACATTTTATGTACATATTTACGTGAATCATTATATCAATTTCAAACACAAACTAATTATTGATATAGTTTTTACTTTATTTATCATTTCAAAAATATAATTTGAGATACATGAATAAATCTTCTTAAATATCTCTGAATTTAGAAGTACCAAACAGAGGATTAAAAACCTACTCGACTTCATACATCTGTAAGTATGATGATGTTATTGAAACTTACTTGAATATGAATAACTTTAAACATTCTATATATATTTTTATGCAAATCAATATGTCCATTTCTAACATGAACTAATTTTCAATATAGTTTTTACCATATTTTATCATCTCGTAAACATGAACCAGAGATACATGAATATATCTTTCGAAGATTGGGTTTGTTAGCATTGTGTCACGGACTTAGAGTCTCACTAAAGCTTCGTGCGGCACTTGACAACTTACTCACTACTCTTTCAAGATCTTGTAAGCTCAAGTAAGCCTTTAAGACTAAGATCGCTAAGAGAATGGAAAGAAAGATTTGGAAAGTTTGGAAGAAAACTTTTGTATTGCTTGGAGAATGTTTTACAAGTTGAGTGATGCTTGCTTCAAACTTAGATGACTTACAAATGAATGCCCCATCTATTTATACTACCCTAGGGGCTAAAGTGTAAATAAAAATTGTTTTATAAGTTTCTAAAGTATTTATACTTTGGTCCCTCTCTAGAACTCTCTACATGTTCTAAGATATTTCAAAGTATTCTTAAAATATCTAAAGGGTTTCTAGAGTCTTCTAAGGAAATTCTCTGCAAGTTCTAGAATCTTCCACTAACCTCTCCATAACTCTAAATTCTTCCCACTTATTTTTAGGGAAAACTACATAAATGGGCCTTAAAATCTAAAATAATTACAAGTTCATAACCAAATCCAAAGTAATTCCTGAAATACCCATTCTTTTATAAATAATTACAGTTCATACCCCTCATTTATTAAGGGTGATAATTTTCGCTTAAGTGATACTAAATCGGTATCATATACTGTATTGGTATCATTAAGGTTGACAATTTTGCTTAACTGATACTAAATCAATATATATATATATATATATATATATATATACTGTATTGGTATCATTAAAGTTTTTTATTCATAAATTACTTATTAGTCAATGATATTATAAGAGTATATATGTATATTGTTGTGGTAAAGCTAATCAAGCTTCTTGGGTTGTGAGGAAAATACTACAAGCAGGGCATTGGATCTCAGAAGCTGGATTACAAGTGACAGATGTGATAGAGGCAGAAACTTTTGCAATCAAGGATACAAAAAACTTAGAGGTGAACTAAGCAAGGTGCCATGGAGAAGAATGGTTTGCAATAACCAAGGCAGTCTTAAATGGACCTTCATCTTGTACTTGGCTATACTAAGGAAATTGTACACAAAAGACAGGCTAGACAAATGAGGGATTCACACTTATTCAATTTGCTCACTGTGTAAAGCAGAACCAGAAACACATCAACACTTATTTTTTGCATGTAATATGGCAAATGTGATATGGCAAAGGTTACTTCATTGGTTGTCCATCAATAAAAGCAGTGCAGGGTGGAATGAAGAGCTAGAATGGACTACATTGCATGCTAACAGGAAAACTATACAAGATGAAGTGTACATAATGACATTGGTTGCAGTTATTCACTACATTTGGCAAGAGAGGAATTACATAATTTTCCTACAAATGGAGAGGACCATAGAGGAGATTACAAAACTAATTTAGGAAATTCATTGTAGAAGTAGCATGACTCCTAGATTGGCTAATGCAATGCAAAATTTAAATTTCTATCCTTAGTAGATTTTCTAGCATAAGAGCCTGATTAAGGCAAGGGTGATGGGCTTTGAGACTTGGGAATATGTCCATGTCTAAAGCTTCAAATTTGTACATCTTGAAAATCTGGTAATATAATTATAGTTACCAAAAAAAAAGTTTCTTGTTCAAAAATTACTCATTAGTCAATGATATATACTCTTATAGTATTATTGACTAATGAGTATTTTTTGAACAAGAACCCCTAATGATACCAATACAATATATATATATATATATATATATATATTGATTTAGTATCAATTCAATGAAATTATCAGCCTTAATGATACCAATATATTATATATGATACTGATTTAGTATCAATTAAGTGAAATTAGTAAATGGGGTATATAGTGTAATTATTTAGTAGGATAAGAATATAAAGGGGTATATATTTGCAATTATTTTGCTTTTATGGAATATTTGCTTATTTTCCCCTTTTTATGCCGAATTTTAATTACAAAGTGGCATGTCATGGCAATTGGGCTATCTTAAAAGCCCAAAACCGAACCCATCCACATTATCATCTTAAATATATAGGGTTGCACAGAGAATTAGGATTTAGGTTTTAAGCTCCATTGTTCCGTAGAGTTCTTGAGCTCAAAAAAAATGGACTTGATGAAGAAGAGGAAGCTTGAGGACAACGGCGTCGTCACTGACGTTCCTGTTGCGAGTAGGCTTTCAATCGAAGATGCCCGGAAGATTCTTGAATCTGTTACATCTGATCAAATGTTAGAAATCTTACAGAATGCTGTCGTTCGTCATCCCGACGTGCTTGACCAAGTTCGAGAAATCTCCGATCGTGACGCTACTAAAAGAAAGCTCTTTGTTCGTGGGCTTGGCTGGGAAACTACCACTGAAAAAATCAGGTCAATTTTTGGGACATTCGGTGAGTTAGAAGAAGCTGTTGTTATTCTTGATAAAAATACTGGGAAGAGCAAAGGTTATGGATTTGTTACGTTTAAGCATGTTGATGGAGCTTTACTTGCGTTAAAGCAACCGAGTAAACATATTGATGGTCGAGTTACGGTTACTCAGCTTGCTTCAGCTGGGATTCAAGGTGGGCCTGGTGGTGGGAGTTCGAATAATCCAGTGGATGTGTCGTTGAGGAAGATTTATGTATCTAATGTGCCGTATGATATGCAATCCGAGAGGATTTTACAGCATTTTTTGATGTATGGGGAGATTGAGGAAGGGCCGTTAGGGTTTGATAAGGCCACTGGGAAGTCAAAAGGGTATGCTTTATTTGTGTACAAGACAGCGGAGGCAGCACAGTCTTCGTTGGTGGATCCTGTTAAGAATATTGATGGGCATCAGTTGAACTGTAAGCTGGCTATTGATGGGAAGAAAAAGCCTGGTGTAGGAGGTCCAGGAGGACCTCAGGTCCAAACAGATGGACATGGTGATCCGATGGGTCCTGGGCAATATGGTGCGCCTAGTGGTTATGGTGGATTTTCAGGACATTCTTCATATGGCGGGTATGGACATGGTCCCAATTCGGCATTGGGTAGTGGAAATGGTATCGGTGTGGGTGGTCCTGGTGGTTCATCTTATGGGAACCAATCTGTGGGTGGTGGGTACGGTTCAGGGATTGGTGGTCCATATGGTGGGGGGTCTCATTATGGTGGAGCTGGATATGGCGGGTTGACTGGTGGTGCTACTGCTGGCGGCGGTGGTTATAGCGGTGCTGGGGCATTGGGAGGTGCTGGTGGTGGATTACCTGGCGCTGGTAGTACATTAGGTGGTGC